AAAAAAAAAAAAAAAAGAAAACAATTGTGTCTAGTTGAGAAAAGTAATACATTATAGTTTTATTGATGTTAATTAATAAATAAAAAAAAGTAATACATTGGAGTTTTATTAATGTTAATTAATCAATTAATTCTATCATCATCCTAAAGTTTTTTGGCTCATAACTATGAATTATAATTAAATTTTTTTCATAAAAATTGAACAACTTTGATTCAGCGATTAGCAGTTGTAAAAAATATATCTCTTATACAATCAAAAGATTTTTTTAATTTTTACTCTAAAGCTTTGTAATATATTCAACGTATACAATAAATATACATTTTACAATAATTTCATTATGCGAAATCAAAATGAGAAATGATAGTAAAATTTAATCACGGTTGACGATAATATACAAATAAATTACATTTAGAAATTTTACAAAAGAGTTAATATATTCTAATCTCATCATATCACCATTAATAAAACTATTTAACTCATATAGTTATTATCTCACCATTAGTAAAACTATTTGACTCACGTAGTCATTATTTCTTAAATTGTGAATTATATTAATTTTAAAAAATTATTTATTTTGTATATAATTAAATAAAGTTTAAAAGAAGTTATATTGACAAGTATTAGTTCACCAACTTCATTTCGCCCGATTAATTTGAATGAAAAAAATTCACTTAACCTTTTATGATTTTCTATGAATATTTGGGATGAAAAGTTAATTTTACAAAAAATAATAACAATATTGTTAGAAATTAAAATATCTTTTAATGTTTATCTTGATGAAAATATTATCGACATGAATAATGAAAAATAAATTTGTAGTTTACTACAATGGGCATGAGTGAAACTGTTGTAAATGTTAATAAAATTATTTAAAAAAAAATCTTTTTGATCATATATGGTTTCGATATATTATATAAATAATTAATGCATACATTAAATTTCAAAAAATGTCATCATTGGATGTTTCTGAATTTCTTTTGGTTACTAGTTATAGAAAATCTCTTTATATATACATAATAAATTCTATGGAGTCATCCATACCTTGATGTGCTGATACATGTCAAATATATATTTATTATAAACACGTGTCAATACAACATTTGTGAATAACTGTGGATGACTCCATAAACCGAGTCATTCGATAGTTTCCTAGCAAAATCGATATACATTTATATTTATGGAAACGACTAAAGTCCCGTTGACGGAAAAGTTTCGTCACGATTTGTTATCGTAGATTATCCACACAACACATTTATTGATTATCCACACATGACCTTAACATTTTTCTGTATATATTTATTATTTTGAAGAAAAACATATGACATTTTATTATTGATATATATTTATTTAAGAGTAAATTATAATTTTAGTCATGTATGTTTCACTACTTTAACTTATTCGTCCTCTTCGAATTGCATTTTTTATTTTCGTCCTGTATGTTTGAAAAAAAGTTACACACTTGTCCTTTTCATACATAAGGGACCGAAATTGGAACACTTTTTGGCAAAACATAAAGGACCTTTTGCTGCAAAAATGACTTTTCTGTAACCTTTTTTTAAACATACGGGACAAAAATCAAAAACACATTTCGAAGACGACGAGTTAAAATAGTGAAACATACAAGACTAAAATTATAATTTTTACTCTTTATTTAAATAAAAAAAAAAGGTGAAAATCCCATAGCATAAGCAAAAAGAAACACCATAAAATTCTCAACTGCTCTCATTGGCCATTGCCACGTTCCTCCAAATCCTTCACCCACCCGTCACTCTCACCTCGACCCTCCCACAGGGGGCCTAGACCCCCCTCCCTGACCCCATAACCGCCGGCCTTAACCTAAACTTATAAGCTCCACCGCCACCACATTCCTCATCTAAGTCGCCGGAAAACTCTCTCTCTCTCCTCTCTCTCTCTCTCACTCTCTTTCTCTCGTTCGGTCGCCAAACAAAATAAATCGCACAGCATCATTGATTAGCCGGCCGATGTTTCGGAAATGGGCGGAGCAACCGAATTTGCCTGAAAAGCTATGCTGATCTCAAGCTCAATCTTATGCATCCCTTTTGCTGCATCGCTTCGCTGATGACGATCCAAGGGAACTCTCACTTGCCGCCGGATCCAACGCCCAATCAGTTGAGCAGGAGCCGGAGCTTGACGATCTGTAGGGTTCTGTCGGGCCGCGATTCGCTGCTGCCGGATCATATCCCCGGCGGTGCAGCCGTTGGGATCGGTAACAGCAGCCATCACAGCCGGGAGCTGAAGATCAACAGCATCGCCGGGAATGGTATTTCTGGAATTTTGCACAAATGGGTGAATTATGGGAAGGGGTGGAGGCCGAGATGGTTCGTGCTGCAGGACGGGGTGCTGAGCTATTATAAGATCCACGGGCCTGATCGAATCGTGGTTAATCAGGAGGCTGTGAAAGGGTCGGCGGTGATTGGGGAAGAATCTATGCGGCGGCTGTCTCGACACCACAACAATCACCAACATCACAGTCATCATAGAAACGGAAACAGTGGTTCATCGGCAAGAGGCCGGAAGCCCGTTGGTGAAGTTCATCTAAAGGTTCAACTTGTCTCTATTATGAGATGGATTTGTTTGCATGTAGATGGTTATGCGAAATGTTAGTTTACTATTTGCTAAAATCTTGAGTTCGGCTCTATTCATTGTGTTCTTACCTTTGTTACTCTGCTTTTGTTTAGCTCTAGATTAGTTGTTATATTCGCTTATGGAACTTGGGCTTTAATTTTTGGTAGTATGATAGAAGAGGAGGATACTTGAATTCCAATTGAATGTTTAAATATATTATGATCTGTTATAGATAGTAGTAGATTCATCTTCTCCTTCCCTTTCTGTTTAGTTGTCTTTCTTGAAAATATTGGATCTATCCTGTTATTTTAGTCTCCATAGTTACCTTATTTGCTCATGAGTGTGATTTGCAGTAAAATACTGTCATAATTCGATGGATGGTTATTATTAGTTCATAGGAATTTTGATAAGTTCATGCTTGGTGTTTTACAAGTGCTTAGTTCTTTGTAGGTCTCATCTATTCGAGAGAGCCGTTCAGATGATCGGAGGTTCTCAATTTTTACTGGCACAAAGAGGCTTCACCTGAGGGCTGAAAGCAGAGAGGACCGGATGGCATGGATGGAAGCTTTGCAGGCTGTGAAGGACATGTTCCCAAGGATTTCCAATAGTGATTTAATGGCTCCTGTGGACAGTTTAGCTGTCTCGACCGAAAGGTTGCGGCAGAGATTGTTGGAAGAAGGTGCTAGTGAGACTGCCATTCAGGATAGTGAGCAGATCGTGAGAATAGAGTTTGCTTCACTGCAAAATCAATTGATGGCTTTGAGGCACAAGTACTGTCACCTTGTGGACACACTGCGCCAGTTAGAGGTACTTATTTGGAATGTAGCATTTGCATGTAACTTTTGGAATCATCTCAGTTTTTCTTCTACTAGGTTTTGTATATCAACCGGTAGGGGGTGGGAGGGTGAGAGTGAATGCAGCGGCCCAAACTGTGTGGTTTCTGCCTTGCTTAGATTTTCATATTGAATCTTATATTTTTTTTTTCTCTGATTTAATTTTTAATTATTTTATTTCTTGAGTGGATGGACTTTGTACTTGCTAAAAAAAAACTTTGTTTGCTCTATTGTGGATTATGTTGCCGGAGCGATTAACAGAACACTTGATATATGAAAGGAGTTTGACTACTGCAACTTTTGTGTATAGACAGAAAAAGTGGATCTGGAGAATACAGTGGTTGATGAAAGCCAGAGACAGGTGAAAGATGTGGGAGCATCCTCTCGATTTAGACAAGAGAAGTATAGCGGTAAGTGTCCCTCATCATGTACTGCTTATTGCTTTTGGCTTTACATGGGTGTATAAATGAATCTCTACGTGATTTATTATTAGTATCATGAAGTTGATCTGACGTGTTTTAAAAGCTTCAGAATTCTCTATTTGCAAGGCTTTTGCTAATTCGAATATGAAGTATAAACTAAAGTGTATTTTTGCATATAAAGTATAAACTAAAGTGTGATTTTAAACTGCATGCATTCTATTTTTCCCTTAAAACTGCGAACTATAAATTGTATGACTTTTATACGAACAACTATTTTTTACAAATAGGTATTCACTGATAAGGTTGCTGTGGACCATTTTCGACGTTCGTTTTTGTAGTTCCTCATTACCCTTGTTACTTCTACCAGAAAGTGTGACTGAATCTGAAGATGATAACGAAAGAATTGATGTGGCTGAGGAAGATACTGATGAAGAAGACAATGCTTTCTTTGACACCAGGGATTTCCTTTCATCTGGTTCTCGTAAAAGCAATGAGTCTGAATTTAGGACGTCGTCTTTTTCATCGGATGATGATGAATTTCATGCTTTTGAAGCGGAGGATGATATTGATCCTGCCATTAAATGTGCTGGAAAAAATTTTTCGCACATTAAGCGTCGAAAGAAATTACCAGACCCTGTTGAGAAAGAGAAAGGAGTTAGTTTGTGGTCAATGATTAAAGATAACATTGGGAAGGATCTTACAAAAGTATGTCTTCCAGTCTACTTTAATGAGCCTCTCTCTTCTCTGCAAAAATGTTTTGAAGATTTGGAATATTCTTATCTTCTCGATCGAGCTTATGAATGGGGAAAGAGAGTAAGTTCTTATAATGATATTATTTATCGCTCTTTCTGATGTTATTTTTATTAATTAGGTGGCTCCACTGTTTTTGTCAAAAATCTGTCTCTTATTTATTTGGAATTGAAAGAGAATATCAGAGTTTATGAACATGATTTGTGCTCTGCAGTGTTTCAAAATGGTCTACCAACAACTTTCAAGAATCGAGGATTGGAATCTGTAGTTTATCGTTTATACAGAGTATCTATATGGGGAAATTTAGGAACCTCTCGGTATACTACCCCACTTGTTCTCTTGTTGGCTGGGAAATGTCAGGATAAAGAATTCTGGCTTGTGAGCATGGGAAAGTAACCAGAGATAGAAAACGGGATATATTTTACCTGAAGGCGAAATATAGTGCACTAGCACATGTATTGGTATTAAGAATTTTGATGTTATGTGTTGCATTTGTAGCATATTGCAATTTGAGAATGGAAATATGTTTCTGGCTTATATGTTTGTGTTTCATGTATTTGTTTTTTTTCTTTCTCTTCCTACAATCTTAATTTGTATTTTATGCAATGATGGATTCCGGGTTTTGTTAAATTTTCTTCTTTTGGTCCGAGAAAAAACGCATACCAATGGAATTGAATTTTTCATTGCACTGATTCTACATGTGAATGTGCCTAACTAGTATCTCACTGTGGTTTGTAACTTTTTGCATAGGGCAACAGCCTCATGAGGATTTTAAATGTAGCTGCATTTGCTGTTTCTGGATATGCCTCTACAGATGGAAGAAATTGCAAACCATTCAATCCATTGCTAGGCGAGACGTACGAGGCAGATTATCCAGATAAAGGCCTCCGGTTCTTCTCAGAGAAGGTTGCATTTTATTAATTGAACAAATTTCCAGTGTTTCCTGTGATTTTGTCTCGAAGTATTGAATGATTATATGTTTCTAAGTGAAGTTATGATGTGTACTGATTTGGTTTCACGCAACTATAGAAACAGATATCCTTTTTTGTATACATTAGCTATGACCAAACAAATAACCTATGTCCTTGTCTTTGCTTCAGGTGAGTCACCATCCCATGATTGTAGCATGTCACTGTGAGGGTACAGGCTGGAAGTTTTATGGTGATAGCAACCTGAAAAGCAAATTTTGGGGTCGATCCATTCAGCTTGATCCCGTTGGTATTTTAACTCTCGAGTTTGATGATGGAGAAGTCTTCCAGTGGAGCAAGGTACAGTTGTACACTAATGATTACTTTTTTTTTGCCTGGTTTGTGATGAAAAAACATATCGCACTTCTGTATTTCAGGTAACAACATCTATATACAATCTCATTCTGGGAAAATTGTACTGCGACCATTATGGCACTATGAGGATACAAGGGAATCGTAATTACTCATGTAAACTGAAATTCAAGGAGCAGTCTATCATGGATAGAAATCCTCATCAGGTACCCTTCTTATCTTGTAATGTCATTTACATTTGTCAAAGTTGATTAGTCGTGCCCTTTTAAAAAGGATTTACATGTACCATGATAGACCGAGAAAGTAGCAAAAACCACAAAGCAGTCAGGAAAATGCACATCTGTAGCTTAAATTTATGTGGTACTACATTGAAGTTTAATTATCGTAAACTCTAGTTATCACTCCAAACTGCATATAACTGTTTGAGGTTTGTATTTTTACCAAATAGATATCATGTCCCCTCCTGAGGGTGCTGTTTGTAATTTTGTTTTAAATGGCTAACTGTCACAGTTAACTTTTGCATTATCTCTTTCTTGGTGTTTGATATTTTTATGGAGATTAAATAGCTTCTAACTAGCTACGGGCCTTTGACATCATGAAAGTTAGTGATTCAAGTGTACGCCAATATCTTCCTCTCCTGCATACCATTTTTCATCATACAAAGCGCACTTGTGGGGCTTGAATGTTGTTATTTGAGGGTTTTTTCGTAATATTTATTCGTCATTGCAGGTCCAGGGACTTGTCCATGACAACAGTGGAAAAACAGTGGCTACTTTGTTTGGAAAGTGGGACGGGAGCGTGCACTATATGAATGGGGACTGCTCTGCAAAAGGAAAAGCTCCTGAATCTGTTTCGGAGTCTCATTTGCTCTGGAAACGTAACAAGCCTCCCAAAGTCCCTACGCGTTATAATTTCACACGCTTTGCATTTACGCTCAATGAGCTTATTCCAGGGCTAAAGGTGATTTTTTACACGTAGTAGTGGAATTTGAAGTCGCACTGAATCTTCTCCTGTATCTACTAGCATTCCCATCTATGAGTTTTCCGTTATCATGTAGAATCATTAACACCATTAACTGCAACTTGGTATTGAGAAACTTGTATGCTCCTCATACAAACTGTTCATTTAAATGGTTATTTAAGCCTGGGTCCCAGTTATTCAGCTTGGAATAATAATAATAATAATAATAATAATAATAATAATAATAATAATAATAATAATAATAATAATAATAATAATAATAATAATTTGTTATGTTGATGAGCTGAATTTGCATAAGGCAGTTTACTGTACTTCTGTTACGGTTTTTCAAATTTGATGATCTTATTATTTTCTAATTTTTGCAGGAAAAGCTACCCCCAACAGATTCAAGGCTTAGGCCTGATCAGAGGTGCCTGGAAAATGGGGAGTATGAGATGGCAAATGCTGAAAAATTGAGGCTAGAGCAGCGGCAACGGCAGGTAACAAATTTGCAGAACATCTCATCGGCACACGGTTTCTCATCCACTTGAAGATTCACACACACACACACACAAAAAGAAAAAATGAATCCATTAGAGCACCCACAATGCTTTGGGTCTCTTAGAAAAAAGTCACATGCCATGTAGGAAATAGACCTAGTCTATAAAAAAATGTTTCACAATGCAATTAAAAGTGGACCTAGTCTAACTTATGTGACACTAGAAAAAAGAGACCAAGTCCACACTTGAGTCTATTTTGGACCCAAGTGTAAACCCGCCTAGTCATTAATTGTTCACAATTTTCTTTTTTTTTTTACTAGGCAAAACATATTTTTTTTGTATGCATTTATTATTACTATATTTTTATTGGTTGTTTAGTATTTTAGACCTAGTACTTTTTTGTTTTATATTGGATACATTTTGGATTTTTTAGCTTGGGTTTGTCCATGTCATTATGCATACAAAAAGAGACCCAAAGCATTGTGGGTGCTCTTAGGAAGTTGTTTGATATTCTTAAGTGAATGATAATTATTTTAATCATCCCACTACGGTGAAGGCTCAAACACCTTCATCTGTTATAAAGCCCGTTATGAGTTACAAACATTTATTATTCTGTGTCTGTCAGTAATTCTCCATGACAACTTGGGACTTGACATACAACTTTAAAGTACTCATATTTCAGCCCAAAGTTTGTTTGTAGCCCGAATTCGAACTTGGTATTTTGGTCCATGTCAGCAGGAGTCCTGTCAAGTCCCTTTTTTATATTACACGATATAATCCATTTTTTTTATGTATAGTAGGATTATTTTAACTAATGAACTAGCTGAAAACCAGGCTAGAAAAATGCAAGAGCAAGGCTGGAAACCTCGATGGTTCACGAAAGAGAAAGGATCCGACACATACCGGTATGTTGGAGGCTACTGGGAAGCTAGGGAACAGGGAAACTGGGAAGCATGCCCCGATATTTTTGGTCAGTTACCTTCTTCTGATCACGTTTTGGGCGAGTAACGGCCTTTTTCTTTTCTGTAGTCTCCATTCATGTATTCTGTAGGAAACATTTGACATATAAGCCTGTGCATAGTTGTTTAGATGAAGAAGCTAAGTTGCTTCTACAATTCTGATAAATATTATTCCTACCATTTTTTTTCCCCAATTTAATTTTCTGTGCATCACCAGATTCAATATCAACAAGGGTATATTACCCCCCTTCATTTCATTGGTTTCTGTATTTTGCGGTGAACGGTAAATGGTATTTGAGGTCAGTATAGTGAAAACTCTTGGTTTATTCACCGCGTTATTTACTCCATTAACCGCGTTGTTTTAATCTGCGTGTGATTTTGTACACTTTTATGGAGTAATTAACTTGTTATCCCCTTCCTCTAGTGATGTGAGTTATACTTAACACAGGAAAAAAAAATAGAGAAATAAATAAGACAGACTCACTATAAGAGAGGGTGGACAGTAGTCCCCACTCAACTTGTGTACAAACGGAATAACAATTGCCTAATTGCCTAACAAAAGGTCATTTATCTTCTAAATTATCCACAAATTTCAATTTTATTTTAGCATGGTGCGTGGGTAAGTACTATTCTAGTCTTTGATGGTACTGTTAAGTTAAACGAGTCTGGCTCGTTAAGGCTCGAGCCAAACGAGTGGAGTTCGAGCTCATTTAAAGTTCGTTTTATAATAAATTAATCATCTAATCAGGTCTTTACATGTGAAATGACACGCGAGTCATGACGATCAAAAAATGTTGTTATTAAGACACCATCTGGACAAAAAAACTTGGACTCGACCATAGGAAATTGTTATGTAGTTGGTTATTTTTCTCATAGACCTGAACCGTGTCGGGTCAACAACAAGCTCACTCACATGGACATATATGGTCATCATTTTATCATCACGTTGTTTTGTGTCTATATAGACATCTACACATGCAACTGTGTGCTTCTCAGTGTATAACCATAGCTAATTGATCGTGATTACTGTTGAAGTTTTTTTGTTTTTCTTACCATTTATATTTCTTTCTTTTATATGTATATATAAATCATGTTAGTGGTTAATTAATGGTCCTTTTATTTACGCTTAGAGCTCTCCTACTAGTGTCGAACAATTATTATACAATGTTTGAATATTGGCATATCTCCCTTATATATAATTCTTCGAATGTGGTGAGACTATGTGGCAGATTCGCATGTTTCGGGATCTTACGTGGCATAATTTCTTGTTACATTATTTGACTTGGACAAATTTTAATTTACTTCCCATTCTAAAAGAATTAGATCCGAATTATTCATAAATATGTTGATTATTTATGGTCAGTTTACATATATTAGTTGCATTATAATATCATTTTCATTATAACCATTGAATTGTAAATATATTTTAAAAATTAATTATTTTTGTATTTTTATTGAGATCACATCGACGGGAAAGTTTGGCACCTCGATGGTGTACATATTATAATATATCAAATTAATTATCTCTTGATTAACTTCAATTTGACATTCATATTATATATATTTAATAAATAAATTATGTCTATCTTTTCCCCCTTGAACTCCGAGATGTCCACGTGTAACGACTCATCTCAACGCAATGCCCGACCGGATTCACCTCCTGGAAACTGGCGTCTGAGTCGTCCTCTACTCCGCGTGGTGGCGGCCACCGACAATACCCAGCCGTGACCGCGACCCCCGCGGCGCCTACGAAACCCTCCGCGACTGCCAGCCTGACCCCTGCGTCCGTCGCGATTTTTTTGCTCGCCTTGTACGATCGTATGAAGAGCCACACGAATATCTTCGATCCCCGCAGAAAGATCTGCCATCTCGTCACCGATCGCTTGGAATTTTCGGCCGAACCCTTCGACTTGGCGACTTAAAAACTCGATGGCGGCCTCGCACCTGTCGTCAGCAGCTTCGTTTCTTCGCGGCTTCATCTATAATCATTTCAGTCTCTGAATACTAACTGATGTAGTGCAGCTTACGAAGGGGAACAACAAGAGAATAAATCTCAAACTTTTATTAATCCCAATGAAAATTGATCGGCTAAGGGAGATAACAACAACTAAATAGAGTCCCAAGCTATCTAATTACATAACTTGCTAGACAATAAAATACCAAATAAAAATAAGTATTCTCCTAAAATAAATAAAAGAAATAATAATAATATTTATAGAAATAAATAATTAACCTAAAGTAGGGCATCCGATCGTATTCTTTCAGAAAGACAAGCACGATCGATCTCGTCTCCATCATGTATCAAGAACAAAACGAACTTTAGCTAGAAACGATACATCTTATTTTTATCATATATAGATATAAACACATTATTGTGCGATAATATATAATGTCATAATGATTCTTAATTGATTGGTTCTTTTTTGTTGATCATTTCTCCATATGCTTAAACAATAGAGTTGCTTCTAGCTTGCTAGCTACAAAATCAGACACCGACAAGTATTCTATGTGTATTTGATTTTTTTTAAAAAAAAATCAAATGTTAAGTTGAAGACAAAAAAAGAAAGGAAAAAGGGGGAGTGGAGAGAAATAAAAATGACGTATTTTACAAATACGTTTTCTACATTTTTTTAATTGTAAAACGTATTCCGTGAATACGTTTTCTTTTGTAAAAAAAATGTGAAAAACGTATTTAGTGAATACGTTTTTTGATTAAAATATATAGAAAACGTATTTTGTAAATACGTGTTTTTTATGTTGGTCCACTACCCTCTTTTTTTGTTGTTTTTTGTCCACTTATTCTTTTTTTATTAATAAATATATAAATTACTCATGTGTATTTGGATTTTAATATATCTTTACATTATTTTTTTTTTGGTTCAGCACAAGTCTATGTAGAAAGAGGATCATGCAATAATTTATAGGTTCTATGAAGATGAAGTAATACTAAATACTGCTTGAACATATATAAAATACAATCAAACCAATGCAATTAGAGCAAGACAAAATCTAGCTCACTTTTTTTTTACTTTCACATTATACTAGTATAACACCCGTGTATTACACGGGTGCTTGTTAAAAAATTATTCTTAAATTTTAAAATTTATGAGAGAACTATAAAAATCTAGTTTACTTTTTTACAAAAAAAAAATATATTACTCTATATTTTAGAATGATATGTGTTACTTATCACTTACATGTGTTATATTATATTAGTTTTTATAACTTATATCATATAACTACTTCAAATATAAATATATTAGTTGATAAATAATTTTATTTTTCTAATTAATATTAAAAATAATTTTATTATTGTTATAAAGATAAATAAAAATATTTTTTTTATACATACAATATGGATGTCAAATCGAAGCTCATCAAAAGAATATTAATTTGATATATTACATATGTAAAACTGATAAAAAATATAAAAGTTATTAACTTTTAAATATATATACAATTCAATAGTTATAATAAGGAATGATATTAAAATACAATTAATACATGTAACATGACCATAAATAATCAACATATTTATGGTAATCCGAACCTAATTATTTTTAGTTTGGAATTAAATTAAAAGTTACCCAAGCCTAATAACGAAGCATGTAATTTGCCACATAGGATTCCGAAGCACCAGAAGCAGCCACGTAGGCTCAATGCGTTCTGGATTAATATATAGGGGGAGGGGATAATTAAGGGACCTTTTTTTTTAGTTTTTTTAAGTGCAGTATTAAAATAAAATTAAAGGTAGAAGAAAGTTTGGTAAGTCACAAGAAAGTTTGCTAAACACATCCTATGCATCATGATAAAATAATGGAGCCTTAATTTATCTCATTCTCATTATATATAGCTCAATAATATACAATATACTTTAGTTTAAACATAGTCACTCGCAAATTCTTCACATCATCCTAACTATTTGATTTTCTCTCAAGTTATCATGTTAACTTTTCTAGAGAAATAGCCATAAAAGTTGTGTTTTTTCCTATACATTGCTATGTTTGGTAAAACTAGCTGATAAGCTAGCTTGTGGAGAGGCACCTGTAATGCTTGTGGAGAGGCACCCGAATCTTTAGAGCATCTGTTCGTTCAGTGTGATATGGAAGCGTTGGTATGGGCTACTTCACCAATTTCTTGGGATGGCTTGGAGCAGGAAACTGGAAACTTCAAAGCATGGTGGTACAATCTTTGCTCAATGAAACAATGCTCTAACTTTGATTCTAGAATCTAATTGACTTCTTATCTTCTTGGATGACTTTGGAAATCTAGAAATCAGTGAGTTTTTCAAAATATCTTAAGGCAGTGAAGGATGTAGTGGACATTGCTATAAAAGATTGGTTAGAGTTTGGAGACTACAGAGTTAGGTAGCTTCTGGGAACAACTAGGTTTCTTTAGTGTTCAGTGGCTATTTTCTTTAGCTTATTTGCTTTGTTTGGTAGTTGTAGTTCAAGAAGAGTTCGGTGAGAGTTGCATATATCCATGAGATGATGAGAATGAAATCATGTAACCAAGAATGACTTTTAACTTTAAATATACGTTGTCATTGATCTTTCATTTTTAAGCTCTTGTTGAAAAGCTCTCATGGAGGATCTCAAAGTATTTCATGGTATCAGAGCACCAGGTTAGCTTGCTTTCTCTATGATCATTCTTCTTCTCATCGTTTTTTCATCATGATTTGTTGTTATGGTATCTCTATCTTGAACTCAGATCAGTCTCAACTTGTCTTTCAATTCCTCAAAGCCACCTTATCACCACTAAGCTCACTGAAAATAACTAGCTAATCTGGCAACAGTAAGCTCTTGCAGCCAGGGTTAAGCATGAGACTCGAACAATTCCGAACCATTCTGAAACCGAATCGAATTCACTCTAATCGTGATCGTTTTACTTTCTCTAATTGAATCAAACCGTAAAAATTATCGGTACGGTTATTAAGATCACAAATATTTGTACGAAGGACGAAACCCAATCGTCCTATATCGTACCAAATAAAAGAACTAAAATTAAGTTCGACTTATAATATTAGATTTGTATTGTTCATAGATTTTA